AAACCTAAGTATGAAGGGACTGGTTATTCTGTTTACTATACAATATTACCAGATTACTTAGAGAGAAACACCACCAACAACAAATAACTTAAGAGTTAAAACCTAAGTATGAAGGGACTGGTTATTCTGTTTACTATACAATATTACCAGATTACTTAGAGAGAAACACTATCAACAGTAAATAACTTAAGAGTTAAAACCTAAGTATGAAGGGTCTGGTTATTCTGTTTACTATACAATATCACCAGATTACTTAGAGAGAACCACTACCAACAACAGAGTTAAAACCTAAGTATGAAGGGTCTGGTTATTCTGTTTACTATACAATCTTACCAGATTACTTAGAGAGAAACACTACCAACAACAGAGTTAAAACCTAAGTATGAAGGGTCTGGTTATTCTGTTTACTATACAATCTTACCAGATTACTTAGAGAGAAACACTATCAACAACAGAGTTAAAACCCAAGTATGAAGGACTGGTTATTCTGTTTACTATACAATATCACCAGATTACTTAGAGAGAACCACTACCAACAACAAATAACTTAAGAGTTAAAACCTATGTATGAAGGGACTGGTTATTTATTCTGTTTACTACACAATATTACCAGATTACTTAGAGAGAACCACTACCAACAACAAATAACTTTTTATCACAAGCTCTTCAGTAATATATGCTTGTATGTAGTAAGAAAAATGTATGCATTTGTGAAATAACATACCCTATGTATCTGACTGGTTCCATTTTAAGTTATAAACACTCAAATTAGTTAACTTATAATGGTTTGATTCATATATAAAAATATATACATTCCCATATAAACAGGACAAGATGGTTTTTATCGTTATCATGGGATTGTAAATGTCCATATGGATGACTAGTACTTCTTTCTAAACACAAGTAAGTTGTAATGAAGTCTACATAATGGAAGTTAAGATACAAATATATAATGGGCAACCTTCCTTTCTTGATTGTGTTTCTACCAATAACCGAGTCTAGAACAGGATCAACAGCTTCTCCCAGGTTTTCAATCAGGACTGTACATCCCGAGGACACTGCTTGCTCAAGCACATCCAAATATCTAAACATTAAAAAAAACTATAACTTTAGATAATTTCAATATTTATGCCCTAAAATTAAAACATATGTATCTTTGTTTAATTCATATAAAAAATATCCTCTTTATAATTATACAGCTATAGAGATAGATATTATATAGCTACAAATCAATACAGTATTTTTCCAAATAACCATATATTTTAAGTTGAAGTTTCTTGCAATATTAATACAATGAATACAAAAACATACTTCTTTCAGTTGTTTTTAGTAATCACAAAATTATTTTGTTCTATTTTTTTATTTAGGAGATAGTAACTAAAAGTAAAAACGATAATTTGGAGTGAAAGGAATACTTTTATATCTCACAAAATGTATTTTGGTGAGTTGTAAATTTAAAAAAAAGATATTTGATTACTGACTAATTTTTAATGCTAATTCAAGACTCCCATATTCCACGAGAAGAAAAGGGGGGTGAGAATGCATTGGAGAATCCGGAGGAACTTCATCACCTGAGACAGTGCAATGGCTGATCACAAAACCCTATTTTGAGACCATATTGATTTATTCAGTAGAGGTATAGCAAGGATGAGTAGCTATCCTCTTCTGCTTTACCTATGAAGTCTATGAGTGGTACGGTCCGAAACAGGCAAATTTATGAAGCAAAAATCGTGAGGTTATGCACCTACAAGCGATCTTGTGAAATACCCCACCTCAATGGTGAGCATTGCGAAGCCATGGAAGATAAAGCTTAAGTCAACATGGCTGTACAGTGTCAATTTAAAGTTAAAGAATACCTGGTCAGGCACCACTTGCCACAAAGCGGGATCCATGTAAGGATGGGCTCCTGAAATAAAATAAAACATTAAGAGAGAGACTTATCCAGTCTTAGAGTCACATCGAAGTTTGAAGAACAGCCAAGGAAGATGAAACCAAGATATGTAAATAATGAGAGATGAACATGTTAGGGATGGTCCACATGCCCAATTGCAGGATTTCCTCCAAAGGCCAATGAAGACAAGAAGCAAGGGGAAAAGGTTAGGTGTCAGATTTGGTGAGAAGTTACTCTGAAAACATTCCGGTGGGAAGGGTGATAAGCCAACTGTATCAAATGATGATCCCAGGGTAGAAGGGGATAGACCTCCAGACGAAGAAGACTGCCACGGGATAAAGAGTTGGGAATGGGAACCATGGAAGGAAGCCGTGCTGGCAACGAAGGGCACTCACTGGACATTGAAGTCTATCCGGATTGGGACGAGGGTAGAGATAAGAAATATAGAGAAGAGAAATAGGCAAAAAGGAAGAGTTACCCTCTTGAGGCGCTGAGGTTTTTGGGAGGAAAGAACGATCTAGATAAAGGAGAAGACAGGTATGGTGGTAAAGTGTGCGTGTAACATCGATGGCAAATAAGTCAGACCGTCAATGAATACAGGCCAAAAGGAAATACACTTTAAGGGAAAAATGAAACATAGAACATGAAGAAAAGAGGTTCAATTGGAGGTAAAGTAAAGGAATGGAGGACCAAATTAATATCCCAGTTTGGAAAAGTAGGTTTTCGGGGAAAGCAATGAATCTGGAAGGAACAGACTAAAATGCTAAGGACAAGCAAAGCGAAGATTGTATGGTAATGGGAAAGATGAAAAGTATGGTACAAGGCTGCCCAATACCATAAAATCGAGGGGATCAAAGACCCCCGGTCAAAAAGCCACATGAGAAACTCACAGACACCAGCCACAGTAGGTCAAGCAGCTGGAAATCCACGAGCATGGAACCATTTGTGAAAGACTTTCCACTTCCATTGATATACTTCTATAGAAGATATATGGATTGAGCCAAATGGAAAGCTACACGACAGTAGAAACTAGATCTCCTTGCCAAGGACCAGACAAAAGCCAGGCGTAAAGACGAAGGATGTGAATGGTGGGATGTTGAACAGGTGATTGGGGTTGACGAAGGAGGTTGGGGAATAAGGGAAGTGGTACAGGAGAGAATAATTGTAGTTGGTGCAAACAAGGAAACCACGGTTGAGCCAGCCAATAGGGAGCTATCAGAAGAACCTGGCATGGAGTGGCATGTATTAGGGAAACCACCTACTGAAGCAATCGGATAGAATGATATACATATAGGAATTTGTGTGACCAATCTTGGCTGAAGGCATCAACAAACAAAGTCTGAGAATGAGGTACTGGGGACTAAAAGAAGGACAGTGGCAAGTGCATCAATGAGAGGAATACCGGGGTGAGAAAGACAGTCCGCCACTAGGATGAAAGCACCAGGGACATAACATGCAATTAATCGAATGTGGTGCACATGGGCACAATAGAGATCCAATGTACAAAACAGAGGGATCTTGACCGGGTGCCACCTTGGTGACTGATATGGAATGACAGCTTGTCTACAGACCAATAACCCAAAGCCTCCTGGTGATCGACCCATGCACCCCAGCCCTGAAGGGATGCTTTCGTAAAGCAGAACTCCAACCAATGTGTGAGTCTTGTCCAACCACCAAATCAGATCATCTGCTAGGGAAGAAGGAAATGTAATAGGAGCATCCAAGGGATCCCAAGCAAGGTTTAATCGATTTTGCAGAGTCCACAATCAGGATCACATGTGTGCATGACCTAGAGAGACTAGCAGTGTTATAGAAGACCACATTCCCAAAAGCGATATAACCTCTCGTGCAGAAAGTGAGGGAGAAGACTATGACAAACTGACAATTCCATAGAATGGAGTTGGAGAGAAGGTTGGGCCCGACTGAGGTGAGTGTTGAAAAAGACACCCAAATGTATAAGTTATTGGGTAGGATGTAGGTAGGAATTCTCCAAGTTGATTAACCAGCCCATCCAAGCAGCTGGTGAGTATGTCTGGTCAGCTTCCAATCAGAATGGGCCAGAAGAAGCCAGTCGTCCATGTAATAATGGAAACGCAACTCCAGGTCATGAAGATGATGAGCAAAAACCCTGACCACCTAACAGAACATATAAGGTACAGAAGCAAGCCCAAAGGGTAGGACACAAAACTGGTACACCACCCTGTGGATGAATAGGAGATATGGATAATACCGTGCTGAGACAAGAATATGCAGATAAGCATTGGTGATGCCCATCTTTGTCACTCATAAATCTAGAAAAAATACCCACCAGAGGATGAGGTGGGATTCCATGGTGAAACGGATGAGGTGAACAAAGTAATTGGGGAAGGATAAATTGATGACAGTCCTCCAGTCCCCGGTTTTCTTGGGAACAACAAATAGACGGGAGTAATACCCCAGTGAATGATGGGTAATATGTTCAATAGCCTGTTGAGTGAGGAGGTCCTGCATCGCCTCTGATACACATTGACAAACAACATGATCCCAAGGTGAAGGGAAGGAAACGGGTACAGGGGACAAGGGAGATGTGGCATGAAATGGGATCTTGAATCCTTTATACAAAACTTGAAGAACCCAAACATCATTGATGAAAGGGTGCCATTGATGAAGAAAGGCCACAAGTCAAGCTACCGCTGGATCAGAACCCACTAGGTAGTGACTTGAACTGTTGGTAACGTATTGTGCATCATCAAGAAAAATGACCAGCTGTGGTACCTCAAGAAGGAGGGACGAGAAACCAGAATTGGTGCCACACTTGGCTCCGACTGAGAGAAACGGGCTATCAGATGGGAAAGGGTAGACTGTTGTTGGACTGATGCCACCCGAGATTCCAAAGGCTCTGGGACTGTATCAAAGATGAAACACCGTAAAAATGAAGCTACATGTAAATCCCAGAGATAAGGTGCAGGTAAACGGGCCCTTGATGAGACAGCATCCCGACCCAAAAGGTCCAAACAACAGAGAAACTACGTATGTAAAGCCAACGCTGAAGATGACAAATGAGCCAACATGGAGGTAAAGAGGGAGAGGATGGCCCCAGAAAACCCCTCAGGAGGGTAAGACATAGATGAGAAAATTGGGCATGGGTTAAACTAACAAGGAATTTGGGGCCCACCCCCCAAATGGGTAAAACAGAACCCAATAGTTACTAGTCGAGATAAGAACAGTCTGCATGATGACAAGTGAGGGCAGACTGATCAGAAGCCTGTGGGGGACAAGGCATGCTAACTGAAAGACAAATTGTTCAGCATGGACCCAAATGTCAGTGGATGGAGGAAAACCAAATAGGGTTGGGAAGAAAGTTCATGCAGTAAGGAAGGACTTGGGTCATAAGAAATAGGAGCGAGGGATACCTGAGAAATAGTCCGAAAAACTGTGGAAGGCCGAACTGAATTCTCAGGAAAGGTATGGGAAGGCACAGCAAATTCAGAAAGTGGAAACAGGTCAACAAAATCCTTGTCAGCCTGCACAGGTTCAACAGGTGCAGGAGGAAGGGGGGCAATTGCTGGAGATAAAGGTTGACCCATGTAATGTTTAATCTCCCTGCGCATAAATGTAAACAAATCTCCCGTCGAGTCGCCCGCACCTGAAGCCTGTGATAAAGCGCCTGTTGAAATTGAGACACCTGAAGTGGTGACATTGACTTCATGCTTCAATAGTTGACAACAGCAAATGTATTAAATAAAGGCAATGAGAATTAGATAGAAGTAATGTAACGTTCAAGAAAACTGGGTATGATAAAATATTATAACCACTTCAAGAAATAACTATAGCTCAAACTAAAAGCAAGACAAGCGCTGCCACAAGAGAAGTGATAGTTTGGTAGAGGTGCATAGAGGGAGTCACCTGAGCATACTATGCTCCTATTGGTGGAATGCGTAAAGGAAAAGTTCGCATATAGGGGGCAGCAATGAAAGAGAATAGCTAATCTTATGAAAAGAGGGAAGTACTGTATTGGAAAACACACATTAAAAAGATCTATATATTTTATCTGAAGGACATATATATGTGTCAGATTAATAACTGTCATACCAAGATAAAAAGGGAATGACTCCAAGGTGAAAACAGAATATTAAAAATGTCTTTAGCTGCAAATTTGATAGGTTCCTGTACTGGAGAAAGAAATTCTTGTGGTAGAGAAAAGTTTAAGAAAAAACTTATATTGTAAAGTCTTATTTAACTCTGCTTCCATTTACATAACATACAGCACATCTCATAGAATGTAAACACATACAAGATCAGTAAAAATACACATTTCAAAACTTCTGCAAATCATTACATTTTTCAGTCTAAACTTGTAGAAAAGTGATCATCCATTGTACATCAATGTTTCCTAGACGTCACTGTCAGAAATCATTGTAAAACATTTTAATATTTCAACGAACCAGGAGAGATCAGTTTTCATACCAAAGTGTCTAAAGGTATGTTACTGCCAGTACAAATACAGTTATTCAGTGTTACTTCCAACTCTCATGAGGTCATCAGCTCATATAATGATCACAAAATATTTTACTAAAATGTTACATTTAAACAAACTTTTGAATTAAATATCAACTGAAAGTGTCTATATTACATCACTGTAAGTTGAGTACTCACCCTCTCTGTTCTAATCTAATAACTTTCAACTTTTCCCTATATCTGTTCTTTATCCACTTTATTCCTTGAAGCTGGGGATCAATAATTAATGGCCAGCTTTTGAATTAAATATCAACTGAAAGTGTCTATATTACATCACTGTAAGTTGAGTACTCACCCTCTCTGTTCTAATCTAATAACTTTCAACTTTTCCCCATATCTGTTCTTTATCCACTTTATTCCTTGAAGCTGGGGATCAATAATTAACGGCCAGCGTTCGGAATTATTTAAAATTGTAGCATTTTCTGCTGACGTTTGATCCCCCGGCAGCCCTTCGTTATTCCACTGAGCAATAGTAGCATCATCAGTTAACAGAGATAGGTGGTTTAGGCCTTCAGTAATTGGAATTGGAATCTAAGAAATTTGTCATTTTGAATCAAATTCTCTCCATTTTGTAATGTGGCTACTCAACAAATTTACACTATTTAAGAAAAATGTCCAAACAAAGGAACATATCTAGTTTATATACTAATTTGAATGTTGTTTATGTAAATGTGTGTTAAAAAAATACTATTAGCTAACTGAAAGGATATAAAAACCTTGAACTTTTGTTAAAAATAACAACCAAATAAAGGGCTTTGATAATTAAAAATCTTGGATTTTTTAATAATTATAAGAAAGTAAATAAGGGTTTATAAGTAACATCACTGATTTAACATCCTGGATTATTTTAATCATTATAAGAAACCAAATAATAGGCTATAAACAACAACAGAGATTTAACATCCTGGATTATTTTAATCATTATAAGAAACCAAATAAGGGACTATAAACAACATCAGAGATTTAACATCCTGGATTATTTTAATTACAATAAGAAACCAAGTAAAGGATTATAAACAACAAGAGAGATTTAACATCCTGGATTTTTTAATTACAATAAGAAACCAAGTAAAGGGTTATAAACAACAACAGAGATTTAACATCCTGGATTTTTTAATTATTATAAGAAACCAAATAAGGGACTAGAAACAACAACAGAGATTTAACATCCTGGATTATTTTAATCATTATAAGAAACCAAATAATAGGTTATAAACAACAACAGAGATTTAACATCCTGGATTTTTTAATTACAATAAGAAACCAAATAAGGGATTAGAAACAACAAGAGAGATTTAACATCCTGGATTTTTTAATTACAATAAGAAACCAAATAAGGGATTAGAAACAACAACAAAGATTTAACATCCTGGATTTTTTAATTATTATAAGAAACCAAATAAAGGACTAGAAACACATCAGTGATTTAAAATCCTGCATTTTTTAATTTCAGTAAGAAACCAAATAATAGGCTATAAACAAGTAAAACTGGTAACCAAATAAAATGGTTATGAACAACATCAGTGATAAGTCTATTGATAAGACACTTTTATTACATTCAACTTATCTTTAAAACTACCTTCATGGACTGAAGAAAGGGAAGCCAGTGCTTTTCCATTAGATCTAATCTATACTGCTTACTGAAACAGCCAACATAGGACACAAAAGCACAAGTCAACAGTACATCTCCGGGCAGCATCTTTTCTTGTTCACGCAGCTGTGTAATAGATTCGCTCCATCTGACTTTCTCTGAGGCCAGTCCTCCAACAAGCCTATTGGCTAATTCAATTGTGCGAGTTGTATTTTCTGCTTCATGTTGACAACGAAGCTTTTCTGATGTGGCTTTTTCATACTCAGCAGTTAAGTTATTTAAGGTTCCTTCCAGGTCCTACCCAAAATTTTCTTTGTTAACATGTATATAACAACCACAGTAATATTACAAGAGGTAGATATTATTTAAATTAAAGATGTTTTTAAAACAAACTATCAACTGTCAAACATAATACAGAAAGCACAAAATTTGTAATACAAAAAATTGACTTAGACATGCACAAATAAAAAGTTTTTTGTTAGTACTTAATCCCATAATGCTTCTTATGAAGCATTTCCCACAAAATCAACTAGATAAGAACATCTATAAAAACTAACTAAATAAATGATACTATAGAATATTTACACAACTGTATATTCACTAGGTATAGTTGAGTATATTTAGTAACTGTGCATATATATATAAAACTATTATATGTTTCAATATATGGGCATTGACAACATCAGAATTGTACGAACTGCTTATGGCAAACTAAGAAATATTAATGATGTTAACAAAATAGGTTATAACAATAATAATAAATCAAAATTACAAATAATTTATGAGAATGAGGGTTTAGAAAAGTTTTATCTCTATTGCTCTCTACTCAATCTTATGACAAAACCAAAATACAGTATAAACACCTTCAGTAGATTAAATGATTGTTTGTTTTTGAATTTCGCGCAAAGCTACACGAGGGCTATCTGTGCTAGCCGTCCCTAATTTAGCAGTGTAAGACTAGAGGGAGGGCAGCTAGTCATCACCACCCACCGCCAACTCTTGGGCTACTCTTTTACCAACGAATAGTGGGATTGGCCGTCACATTATAACGCCCCCACGGCTGAAAGGGCGAGCATGTTTGGTGGGACGGGGATTCAAACCCGCGACCCGCAGATTGCGAGTCGAGCGCCCTAACCACCTGGCCATGCTGGGCCAGATTAAATGAAAGACAACAAAAAAACAAAACAAAGAAGACTTAGTTTTGAATGGATATAACTCACATACAAAACTATCCAAAATATCGTTATGTCCATGACAAAAAATATACAAAGTATTGAAGAAATATAACCAGACTATAAAAAAGGTCTAGGACACTAAACTAATAAAACAACAATAAAATAAAACGAAATTTTTTTTATAAATCTAATGTTTATAAAAGCCAGTTGTCTTTTGGTAATGCTACATTTGTCCGTGTGGCTTATCAACAAAACAATGACCAATTATTGTTCTCTTAAGTATGTAATATAATACTTCAAACATTCATGAGGGCTGGTTTGTATTTCACTCTTTTACATCATTTTATGTTTTGGTTTATGCATACACTTAGCTTGATGTAGATATTTCAAAGTTCTTGGCGAGTTCTAAAAACATCTAAGTTAGAGTTTTGTTACCATAATTCATGTTTTTATGAGGTTTTCATGAAGTTTTTTTTTCTATTTTGGATTAAACATATTTTTTTTTCTTTCTTTCTTTCTCCCAAACAAATTGCCATTAGTCTAAATTAATAATGATGCTTGAAATTAATTTTTAGGCTTAAAATTTGTGATCTACTGGCTTTGGATGCTTCATCTTTTTTTTTTTGGCATTTAAACTGGAATTTTTAGGTTATATGATGTAATTAGAAGAAAAAGTTCTGGTATGTGTGAAATATCATTGGATGTGTGATAGTTATAATGTGGAGAATAAACTGAAAAGTAACAAAAAATTAACTTAAATAAGAGTTTCATACGATTTTCATAAATTTATACAGAAGTCCTGAACTTTGGCATGATATTACAATTTATCTGCTAATTAAAATATATACAGTGTGGTCCAAAATTATCTTCCTATTTTAGAATTAACTTACTAAATAATAAAACCATGTAGTTATTAACACCTTATAGCTCAACTAAAACAGTTTCTATTGTCTTTTTTTTTCATTCCAGTGAGTAGTGTTACCCCATAAAATGGCAACCATGCAAGAAAAGGCTCAATGTGACCAAGTAAGTGACTGTGATGCAGCATACTTACAGAAGCCGGTACAGGAAACAAGTATTGGGGTATGTTAAGGATATTGTATATCACACACCTATAGCAAACACCGTGGAGCTAAAGACTGGGATAACAGACATCATCTTCACTGTAAATATGGACATGTTGCAGTGAATGTGGACTGACATTGAATATCGGTTAGATGTGCTGAGAGCCACTAATGGTGCACACGTACAAGTTTACTGCCATGTCAATAAAAACTGTTTGAGTTCGGCTACAAGATGTTGGTTGTATATTCTTCATTAGTTAATTAATAAATTCTAACATAGGAAAGATAATCTTACCTTTGCCCCAATCTTATTGATTTTATTTAGAATGAATTTGAAAATTGTTTTGATTTTCTTGATGTGTGATTGCTCTTCTTTATGATGAAGGGGAAGTTTGGTGAAAAAGGTTCGTTGAAGAAAGGGTGGGGGGCCACGGGGATGATGAAGTTTGGTGAACAGAGCTCACTGAAGGAAGGGCAGGGGCCACGGGTTATTTTTACAAAACTTCAACCCATCATTTTTTGATGGGTCAAGAATGTTTTTTTTATAATACATCCCACATAGCAGGTCTCAAAGGAATAAAATTTTATTTGGTGGTTCCTACATGTAATTTTTTACTTTTGTATGTCTTGAGACAGGTGTAATCAATACTTTAGTACCTCAATTTTTGACTTGATCTTGCTAAGTTTCTCTTTTGCTGCTTCTAATTCAGCATTAGCTTCAGCCAGAGCCTTCCTCTTTGGTTCAACGTCACAAAACACCTACAGAGAAAAGTACTCTAAAACTACACATATAGTTCTTTCACTAGCTGATTTATCTATTCACAGTGCTAAATTCTAGACATTTACTTGTTGAAATTCTTATTATCTCAAGATACTATGATTGTTTTACAGTAGAAAAACTTTCCAGGTATTTTTTGTTTCTTATTTTTACACTCAAAGATACTAAGGTTATTTCACAGTGGAATACTTTCTAACCACTTCATTGTTGTTTCGAGTAAATGTCAACCAGAACAAATAACTTAAAACTTACCTCATAAAACTTAACAATATTTACAACCCAAGAACAAAGACCAGCAGCAGCATTAGATTTTGTGGCAATGAAGTCTGGGTTAAACTCTGAATTCTTCAAATAAGGCTGGATGGCTTTAAGGCAATTATCATGAATGTTTTCTTTATCAAAGTTGATTAAAGCATCCAGGAAAGCGTCAACCTAAATGAAAATAAGTACCTTTAAAAATTACAGCATGAGGGAAAACAGTTTTGAGGATTTTTGATAGGTTAGGACAGCTTTTTTTAAAACATACCATTGCTGAAAGATTTGTTGTTATCAATATTTTAAAATATTTTCATACATTCTGATAAAAATATATTTATTTTTGTAATTATATTTTTGAGAGGGGGATTCCTTTCAAGTCTTAAAATGAAACAAATCTTAATATCTAAGGCAGAAAGTTAATGATGGATCAAAGTGCAGAATACCACATGAAAGACTTCCCCACAAACAAAAAAATGAACTGTAGGCCGAGGACTTGAGAAGTAAGATGAGTAGAGGGAAAAACTTCCCCACAAACAAAAAACGAACTGTAGGCCGAGGACTTGAGAAGTAAGATGAGTAGAGGGAAAAACTTCCCCACAAACAAAAAACGAACTGTTGGCCGAGAACTTGAGAAGATAGATGAGTAGAGGGAAAACTTCCCCACAAACAAAAACGAACTGTAGACCGAGAGCTTGAGAAGTAAGATGAGTAGAGGGAAAAACTTTCCCACAAACAAAAACGAACTGTAGGCCGA